ATCTACATTTAAATACCACACAACTCTATCAATAATGGCACCCCAAGCAAACATTTTAGAAATCTTACAGCATTACAAAATGTTTTAGTGTCTCCAGGAAAATTTAGTGATCCACACACACAAGGTTTCTAAAGTCAGCCAATGGTACAATTAACATTATATGTAAAAGTAAAACAACTCTTTTTGTCACCCTTATTTATCAATAACCATGTTAAATTATCACTGTAAACCATTTACAATCAAACAAAAGTCACAATGAAAAGTAAAGATACAAAAGTACAGTAGATCCTTTAAATACTTCACTGAATTTGTGTTCAATATTCAATAATTTATAAAAGTCATGCCATTAAGCCATGGTTAATTATAGCTGGTTTACCACAACAGATAAGAATACCAATTCATTTAGTAATTGGGTATTCATGTTTATTTAGACCTTAACCCTCTGATGTGAAAAACATACCGATACGTTCAATATCAGGGTACTATTTGTATGGATGTACTCACACATTTTCCATAGTGTGCATGTACAGCAAATCTTTGCTTAGCTCAGGAGTGCAAGCTTCTGACATCTGTTTGGGACTGATTACACCAAGTTCTCAATTTGCTGCTCTCTCTTCCTCTGTTACCCTCCCAAAAATAGTGTGAATAATAGCTTTCAAGCTCTTTAAATATCATCCCTCAATGGATTAAGTCATGAAAATACAAAACAGACAAATAAGGTACCATTAAAACACCCCTGCTGTAAATACACTTTAAGCAAAAGTTTTCTACACTACAATTTTGTACATTAGTGTCAGCAAAGACAAATCCCAATAATGCTAGTTCGCTTTGTGTATGCTAAATGCACCTGACTGTCACTTACAGTGTTATCTAGACCACAGAACTCTTCTGTCTACAAATATGAAAGGATTAACAGTAGCAAAAATATGGTTAATCTCTACTTTGATCTTGGAGAATAATTTTAATTAGACCTACTTTAGTTTGACAAAATTATAATTCTGCTACACTACATCATATATAAATACAATCTACAATTCTGGGCATCTATCCATGAGTCACTACAAATGTCAAACTTTGGAATATATATGAAGCTGAAACACGTGTGAATATAAGAGAAGGAAGATAAAATAAGTGAAAGAATGAAGAACTTGGTAGTTAAAATATCTGCAAAGAATGTTACAAGACTATCAAAACAAGCCTTACATTATACATGAATAGGAAGAAGAGGTATTGGCCTTCCAAGCAAGATACTGAAAGCCAAATCATGAACAGAAACATTTCCTACACTCAGAAATGAAAATTTTAATAAACTACAGAAATTATTTTTTTGTCACAAATACTACTAAAAATTACTTGCCAATACCATAAAATGTCTAGAACATTCAGAAAATGATTTTGTAAATACATATATGCTTGTAAATTAGATTCTTTTCAATAATAAGAATTACAAATGTCTGTCATCTGAGATGTTGCACAAACCAATCTCGCAGAAATTTACCGTGTTTTGGAGGTGCTTACTGCCTCCATAATTACAGTGCTAATGGAGGCAGTAAGCACCTCTGAAGCATCAGTAAATTTCTACCAGACTAGATCGTGCAACATCCCAGAAGACCATCATCATACTTGCCACCATGAGAACCTGAAATCTCATAAATTATAAATGCATATATTTTAATATCTATGTTAGTAACAAATTAAGGTGATTTATAAATATTAATTACAAATAATGTATGTTAAAAACGTTCAGTAAAAAAAAAAGCAAGACTGTTACAAACATGCCACCCTAAAGCCATAAATATAGAAACATTTAAGGAAAGAAACTTATACTTCAGCATCACATAACTGACAGTTCAGAAAACAGTGAATTTCTTTTACACTTTTTAAATTCATGAAACCTATTTCATATGAGAATTATGCATGTTCATATCAGTTTGCTGCCAGTCATTCTAAATTTCTTTGATTTTATAATTTCAGGGTTATCTCTTTAATGCTCAGAAAGCAGTAGATTTTCAATCAGAATTGAGGTATACTTTAATTTATGATGATGAATATTTCACTTCCCCCTAAATCAGCAGCTGTATTATTGTCTTGCTACTGTATATTTCTAAAGTAGTGAATTACAAGAAAACACATGATGATACCAATCCTATTTTAATTCTGAAGTTACGTGTGAAACAGGCAAGAAGCAGACAGAACCTTTACATAAGACTTTACTACTGCCAGCAACTTGCCCATTATATTGCGCACATCTACAGTACATCTCCCTGGTAAGCTACAATTTGTCACTATCAGATTACTGGCCAGGCTCAGTGCTATCAGTTAATCCTTATAAGTCTACAATTGCTCCATTAAGATATTAAGAGTATGATCAAAAGCTTTTCCTTTAATAAATCTTCAGATATGTAATATCTATATCAATATACCCCAAAACTTTTTTCATAACTGTATGCTCATTGTGGGGAAGGCCCAAAACATCAACTTCCTACTGTGCAAATTCAGAATAACCTCCATGATCTGTAACACAAATATACACCGTTACCAAAGCAATGATACTGAAACTGTCTCACAGAAAACGCACAAATAACTTACCCACTGCCTAAATTTTAAAGTTCTAAATTCTAAAAATTACATTGTTTAGGATAGTAGGCCTTCATCCCTTTCTTCTGTGTGAAACCCAAAGACTAAGACAGCCAGTTTTCAAAATGTCATAATTCTTAGAATTGTAGATTTTAAAACACAGACAAAAGATAATGTCAAAAGAAAATGCTCTAAAGATGACAGTACACCATTCTTACAAAATGTTATAACCATGTAAGTAACTAGCTTCTATAATTATACAAACACTATACGCAAGATAAATCATAAAATACCATGCATTTTCAAGCATCCTATAATTAACCTAGAATGCTAAACTCATTATAAAATAACATTATATCTTGCTGTTAATTAGTGTCATGGCTCTCCATTGAAGGACGTTTTGCTGTTTTTGTGTGTTTAAACTCAATGGAACTTGGTTGATAAATGTCAGTCAGAAAGTTACAGGTGTTTAATACTTACATTATTTTCATTGAACTAAAAATATTTAGGGCATGACAAATTAATTATATGCTTTGCAAAATACTTCAGCCACCTTTGGTCCTTCATGCAACATTCAGAATTTATTCATGTCATTCTAAAATGTTATACAATAACCGTATTTTGCAGAACTGTTAATTATTATACCCACCAGTAATTACACATTAAATATTAATAAAAGTATTACATTAATGTGTGAAAAGCAATGCATAAAATCAGTCACTATTCTTACAGATGTTTATCATGTACCTTCTACAAAAGATTATCTGCATGAAAAGCATGAAATATAAATCAGTTAGGATGTGCAGCTTCTAATTGAATTCAGAAACATAATTTCACCATGTACAAAAGTTCATACTTCCACTGTGACCATGTTTTCATTGGTAACCTCTACTGATCAGTATTCTTCAATATGGCAGGTATATTGAAAAACAGATTTAAAAGAGCATAAAATATTTGTGTTAATAATACAAATTAAAAAGATAAATTAATTACTTGTTTTGTTGTGTATATGAGAATCCATTTAATAACAGCACAGATCATTTTTTAAAATATTTCAATACAAATGATAATGTTATAAATTAAACATACAAAGTGCAAATTTTCAATCTCATGCTTGAAAGCAAGGTTACATGGTTCAATAGAAAATCTGGTCAGAGCAGGTCCAATATCACTACAAAATCTTGCATTAGCTGAGTTACAAAGTGACACAACTTCAAAATACAATTTAGTGGCAGAACTTCAGGAACACTCATGAATTCTGTAAATTTCAAAAACCACTGACATTGTATACAACTGAAATCTTGAAAGAGTGCCAATTATATTAACATGTATACGCTGATTCATTTACATTTAATGGCCTCAGTCACCTTTAAACTGTTCATAACAACAAATAATTTATGTTACAACAACAAGCAAGGACTTTTGTTTCAATGTATCCCATAATAAACATCACTTCATACCAAAATCTTATTTATAACAAATCTTTAAACTTTCAGCATAAAGGGACATGTGTTAAATGCAATTTGCTGTCATAGTACAATTAAAAAAATAGCAAACATGGTTTACAAAATCACAGAGTAAATCATGGAGTAGAAGAAAGCCCTGGCTACTCCTTTAACTCGGTCAAATTTCGGAAATGGTTTTCTTAATTCTCTTATGTCAGACAATTACATAGGTCTTTCTGCAACTAGTACAGATATACAATGAAAGAAAGAAAAACAGGAAAAGAAATAATATAAAACATTTGCACTCTTCCAATTATTTTTATACACATAAAAATATTCTCCATAGAAATGCTATTACTATCACCAATTAAATATACAATCTTTCACAACAATATGCAGCTATTTTTCTTCTGAAGTAAGGACTTCTTTGGAGGTAACCACTAAATCACTGAAATTCTAGGTAGTAACGTTCACACCTAATTTTCTAAAAATATAAAAACTTTCCCACAGCACAAAAAATGCAAAACTTTTACAGAATCATTTAACATGGTACTATAATTATTTCAAACAGAACTTTTTTCCTATGATACACAATATACATATCCAAATTATTTTAACATTACAAATACTTTAACTCTGATAGAAATGTAAGTTTAGTATGCAAAACATATGAGCCTCTGATTAACAATTTAGAATACTAGTAAACATATTTCGGAAGTACAATGCAGTAGTCTGCAGGACTGAAATCATATTATTTTTTGATTAACCTAATTCAATCACAAACTGTGCTGCCAACAAAATAATATAAATTAATTATATCCATGTCTTGCTGCCTTTAACTTTTTTTAAGCTGCACCTATGGAAAGCACTCATGCAAATAGCTGAATATTTTATTTCCTTCTGTAATTGGGCTTGCACTTCTAGCCATCAATTGACTTATAAAGACATCAAAATGCATCAAATACAAACAAGAGAGATCCCTGCACAAATGGCAGGAAAATAAAATGCAAGGAAGAACATAGTCTACACAATGTGCAAGCACAAGACGAGTAAATTGAGTCAGTGAAGTTTATACATCCTTGGGACTCTCAGGCTGTAAGTCAAACCAGGATGTGATAGCCTTTGACAGGTCCTGTTCTCCCAGGTTCACAACCACCTACACAGAAAACATATGTCATATACAATTAATACATGTGCCCAAACACTACACCATGAACACTAAATTCCATGCATTCTGGGCATTAGATGTAGTTCAATGGTCAGCTACTCTGGCTAATTTTTCTCCAGAATCTATTGGACAGGAGACCAAAATGGACATGGTGACAAAGAGAAAAATCCTAACCCTTCTGAGAATGTAAATCACACAGTCCAATTCAAAGCCCATCTCTTGATTGACTGAAGCTTAGGAGTTAACAAAAAGTACACAAACAATTTGCTATGGTTGCATGTAACAACATTAGTAATTTTTATGTTTATATCTCAGCACAAATGATGATTATGATGATGATAATGATAATATAACAATAAAATAACTAAAAAAAATAATTGTGATCTATCTTTGTGCATGACTTATGTTAGAATAAATTTCCATCACTGTAAATTTTTCAGACTACCTTATTGTTTCACAAAATCACCAAGACAAAAACAAAATTTCATGTAAAATGTATGGGTTTGCTTAAGACTATAATTCTATCAAAATTCACCTCCCAACTCTGCTTGTAAGCAGAAAATCAACTAGTTATATCACACACCTGACCCATGACAGGACTCTGCGATGAGAACCATCCTTTACGAGTAACAACAGACACTTCCAATTGCCGAGAGTTCAGCTCCCCTTGAGACAGGATATACTCAAATGTTTCATCATATACTGGATTACAGTTGTCTTTCATTGTCTGAAAATACATATATGTACTTTATGCCATGTATAATTAAAGAAACCATAAAAATAACATAGTAAACTTTCATAATTTGTATTAATCAATTTGAGAAAAAGTTAATTTCTAGTTCTCTTCCACTAGCTTCTACTAGTTTTTAATAACAATGTTTGCTCAGAAATTGGCTATATACAATGAAAGGAATTGTAACAATTCAAAAATACACAAATAATTGTCACAGCAGATTATCATTATTGTTTGGAAATATATAAATGCTACAAAAATTATATTGACCATATTTTCCCCCCTTCTTAAATATCCAGAATGGCACAATCAAAAGTGCTTTTGGATAACATTTAAAAACGGAATGTTGATTGAGGAGCAAACATTCACATCATGAGCATAACTGATTTAGGAAGTCTGTATAGTAAAATATAGCACATACTCAAATATGAAGCTCTGGACATGCTAATGATCTCACACCCCACCTGATTCATCAGTCATGAGCATCACACCATACACCATAAAATACAAAGACATTAGCAACAACTAGTTTGTAATAAAATGACCAAATAAATAAATATCCACACTGAGGACTTACCTCTGTCTTGCGTTTAGAGTCCTTTGCCCTTTCAGGCAAAAGATATAGCTTCACATAGGGATCTGGTATATTTGTCGGGTCCCTCAAAGGCAGGTTACTGAAAATTTTGGAACACATTTTTAAAAATCGTTATCAGAAAGTTTATAAACATCAATTGTTAGTACAGTATAACACAGGCAAGCAGCTGTTTCTAAAATTATTCAGTGACTCGAAATTATATTTACATCTATAGTCATTTCTTCATTTATGCATTTTTGCTGATCATTTATGGTCATGTGATGCACAATAACAGTGGTGTGCATCCAGATGCTGCTGTGTTGTAATACCACAACAATAAAATAACCCTTTATTTTGAGCCAGTCTATAGCAGCTATGGTACAAGGATTTTGTCTACTTACTCTATAAAATTTTCTATTAAGCTTTCCTGCAGTGAGGTTATTTACGAACATCAACACTATTGTCAATAAGAAGAAAGAATAGATGTGAGCTTGTACGGTGACAGTGCTGATGAGAACCAGAAGTGAGATTGTGCACATACACAGTGACATTCTCATAAAAATAAAACATCAGGTCCTACTTGTTTGCTTCTTTTGTTATTTGAATATATTGTAAGTCTGTCATCAGCACATTATTCTTCACTGTAGTGTCATCATGGTTCAGTGTTGTGGATTCTTCTAATCGTATCAGAAGTTCACAATAAAGGTGCTTATGTTCAGTGTTAGGATGGGAGAAATATTTTCAAGTCCCATAGTATCATTACCTCTTGTCCTTCAGGCATTTGGAAAAAAATGAAAATGTATTTTCTTTCAAATAACCTACTTTCAAACAGAAAAAAAAACAAAGATATTTCCATTTTTTTTATTAATACCATTACTACTTTAAGCATCAAGTTGGAATTTGGTGGCCAGTCCCACAGTATAGTGGACTTAATCCCCTATTCCCATTTTATGAAGATTAAGGTGATTGAAAGGTACGTGTCACTACTTAATTTAAATAATTTTAGCTCTAATTGTAAATGAGGTTATATGGTCTTTAACAGGCAACATGGTGGTCTACAGTGTGGTGTGGACAGTGTTAGAGATGGCAGAAACTGTGAACACTCAGTATGCACAGCTACAAGCAGCATCACTTGTGTAGATCAGAAAATCAAGGGCACACTTTGTCTCATTTTAGCCACTACAGAAAACTAGCTCTTCATTCGTATGTCCTTTTAGGAATGTATCTACATGGAAAATTGACTACTGACAGAAGGTTAACATATAAAAGTGTTCCTATGCCTAAGTGCAACACCATGATAAAGCACAAAGGTAAAGCTCCACACATTCTTAACATTAATTAGCACCATATGGGGGTGATTGATGAGTTTCATGCTCTGGAAACTTTACCCCTGGGAATGAGCCCAATAACAACCGCAGGCTGGACCAACCTCAATGATAGTGCAGATGTCATTGTGAAGAAAAAGATCTGTGTATAATTATTCTGATGGACTTAGCCATCACCCAAATATTTTTTCCAAACCACTACATTTGAGAGGTTGGTTCTACTTTATGGGATTGAAGGTTCCCATGACAATGAATATGAAGATGGCTGTCTTCTGGGATGCTGAATCATATAAGCTGCATTCTACCAAACTATGCAGTGCAAAATCCCAGATGACAGCAATCTTCTTGATTCTACCTCCATCATCCGGCGACAGTCAGAAAACAGAAACCTACACCTCATCAATGGATAAGTCCATGAAAATAATTATACACCATATGTCACACCTACATTAGAAATGTTTAAACTTCAATCAAAATCTCTGCTCATACCAGGAAAGATATTGTCACCCAGTCCCACAAATGGTAATACTACTATCACATCATACTGGCTAACATGATAAAGTTTACGTACGCAACTTTGTGCACTACCACAACAAGCCTCTGGCGTTGAACACTGTAGCGAAGTGTCAGCTGAATGCGACCCAAACCTGCTTCACCTGTTGACCTACAGAAATAAACACATGAAAATAAAACTTGTCTAAACACCCCCCCCCCAGAAGAAAATTATGAAATATCACAGTATAGTTGTTAGTACTCCTGCTTCAACAAATTCTTTCTAATTTCTCCCATAGTGATGTATAAGTTCTGGTACAGGTGATCTGTTGTTCTATATCTCTGCTGTCCATCTTATGAAACACATTTTAGCTGCCATTAATCTTCATTCACAAGCCCCTCTTTATGGTCTACATTTTGTTCCCACATGATAATGCCTGTTTAGCAAGTATGTATAAATGTAGATTGCATTTACAAAGCACAGCCTATTTTGAAGTATTAGTCTGGCATTTTATTGGAGGGATTAAGGAAAACCACAAAAATATCAATTAGGTTAGTTGGTGCCCAGACAATTCAAAATGGGCACCTCCAAAATGTAAGTCAGTTTCTTTGAATAACTAAGGAAAACTTCACAGAACCGTAAATCCAGAGATCAATACTGACACTGCCTACATCACAAAACCTTCAAGTTTCTACATTACTTACGATGTACTGCTTGGTGTACGGTTTCTAAGATCTCCAGTGGGGGGACTATCTACACCTGGGGGTGCCTTAGACAATGTCATCAAATCCTCAGCTGGCTGCTGATATGAAATGGATGGGGCACTCTGTAATGAGTCCTTCGATTCTTGCTTTGAGATTCTCACAGGAGAGCCTGGTTCTGAAGGTGCTGTGAAAAGAAAATTGGAAATTTTCTCTTTATGTTCCTATTCTACCTCCAATTACTGTACTTTGAAATGATAGAAGAAAAATTATAAGAAGCAACATGCACAGTTTTAAAGTAATTAAATGTGGTACATAAAACAAAACAAAAAATTGAATGAAGAATGTGTCTTATATGCAAGTTTAAACTTAAAACCACTTGACAGATCAGGAAAAAAAATTGTCAAGCTTTAACCCTACTGCACTAATTCACACTTTACAGAAGTATTGTATTTCCCAGACGAAACTGCTAGTCACTGCTAGAAACTGCTAGCAGTTCAGCATTTCAGAATGAACCTGTATATGAACAGAACACACAACAGATATAAATCTATACTAATGATATATCACATATTTGGATCTGTCCCCCATTTACCTGTGGTCAACACACTTTTCTCTTCTTTGCTGTAATTGTGCTCAAATTACATGGCATAATTTTCAGATTAAAAAAGTCCTAAAAATTGTTCTTTCACCTGAACAAACAAAAACTTCACCTTTCCCAACTCCTGCCTGCAGCACGCTTGCATATCAAAATAGCAACAGGACGCTGCACTGTCCTATAAAAAAATTACACTATTCCATGAAGGCAGGCTGCAACTCATATCACATTAATGGTGTGTAACACGCACTTTGCATAGATCTTCTGCTTTCCCAGGTATTCAGTATGGACGCAAAACAACATTTCAAGCAAGATTCCCACTTCAACTGCAGCTGCTGTATATAAAATGCTATGCATGAATTTTAGTACTGCACACATAAGCTCCACCTGTTACATTAGTGCTAGTTGATGGATTTACCACTGCAGGAGACATTTGCTATGTGTTCCTGCCTGGTGACAATTGCATTCACTCACCACAAAGTACTTACATATGACAGGAATGGGTCTTTAAACCTTCCTTCAAGTGACACTTGTGCGACAGTTTTCCAACACATGGAACCTGACTGCTGTCCATACTGCCACCATATGCTTGCACCTTTTCTCAGTCCATAGCTCAGCGTGATGTATGCACACAACCAAGCTACCTACTAATTATGTACAGTCAATACTAATACCATACTCAAGGGATGCTCACTTATGTAAATCATAATACAATGACTGCCAAACTTCTGAAGTTGAAGGTGAAATACCAACATTATTTCTTCATCTATACCCTCCTCCACCAAAAATATTTCAATTAAAAGCAATTATTCCCACATTTGAAGCTATGTAACCAAAAAGTAATTTTTGTGTCATACTAAATATGGTATAAATATTAACATAAAGCAAATGTCATTAAGTTTAGAATAAGATATTTTTGAATAATACTATAACATGTGAAACAAAAAGAACAATATACCTTCTTTCTCTCTTGTACTTAAGGGTGAATCAGGCTTCTTGACTGAGTCTCCTTGTACCAGTGGTGACTCCTCCTGTGTTTTCAACAGACTGTCTCCTTCTTCAACTTCATCATCATCCTCAGTGACCCCTTCTTTTGATCCTTCAAATTTCAGTATCTACAAACACAATACTGAATGATGATTTCTGTTGATATACATTATCACAAATGATTTCTTACGATATTGAATTGTGATTGTTCTGATTAAAAATCATCTTCTGTAACACCCTACTCTTAACCTGAGCCTAATAACAGAAAAATATGTGATATCAAAATCAAGATAGACTATATACATACTCAACATAACACAACTTGCAGTGATTAACTTTTTACAGATGCTATTTAAATATAATCATATTTATGTATCTACAATTTAAAAGACAAGTATGTAGCTGCTAAGGCCTGTAAAGTTTATTCATCAAATAAATATAAGACATACACACAGATACAAACTGATTATTTATTTGCACTAAAATTCTTCACAATTGAAATTTGTGTGGTAAATATCTTAATAATGAGTAATTTAACTGTGATCCACTATTTTCAAATGATTTTAATAGTAAATGCTGGTGTTATAACACATATTTCTGTTACAGTACAAGTAGACCACATTATGATAATTCTAAATACAGTATCTTTCTATTAAGGAAGTTGGTAGAGGTCTGCAATTTCCCATGTAAAATAGAACTAATGTTGAGCAGATTCCTGCTACCCACTCAACTTTAAAAATATAATACTTGATTTATAAAAGAACAAAAATATTTTAAATTCAATTGCAAGTAATTTAATAGACACAACAAGCAAACAATTTTTCACTGTTATATTTAAAAACCAACAAACTTACCCTCATTTGCAGAGACAGATTGATCTTACTGTCTGGCCCAGATGTTATAAGGCGATATGGCTGACTAACCACTTGTAAGTCTGGTTTGTCAACAAGGGATATCAGATCATACACAAAGTAGCCAATTTCCCGTGTAGTCTTCTGATCAATTACCTAATTAAAGTAATTTAAACACAATGTTGGTTATCTTGTTCACACAAAAGATCTACATGTGTATGAAAGCAAATTAAATAAAATGTGGTTCTTGTTTATGCACAGCATCTACCTTACCTTTATACGCAAAGTGTCTGAGTCTGGGTTGTTCACTAGGAATGTAAAACCTTGTTCCCACACAGGATCTTCAGTCCGAAAAAGAACAGTGGTTGTCTCTTGCTGCTTCCCTACAGTTAGCTGAGCATATGGATCAGGCTTCTTTAATGGACGGGCATTCTGTAGCAAAATAAAAATTATAAAGTCTATCTCCTGCTTTACAGTATCTTAGATGACTTTTGCATCAATTCTCAAGAGTCTATTAGTGTTAGTGGCCTTCTATCTGTACATTCTGCATATGTTAACTGTAATATGGATAAATGAATCTTATCAAATTTGGTTTTTGGAGTTCTTACTAAATCTATTAAGAAACTGGGTATGAAATAATAAAGGCACTTCAAGCAGCATTTCACAAATATGTAGCAGTTAAAATCCTTTCCCATCAGCAGAATATAACACAACAGTTCTTTCAATAGCTCTGACAATAAGAAAATAGGATGGCATACGTGTAGCAAGGAGCAAGAAGAATAAATATTATGAAGAAATATAAATAAATTTGTTTTTACATTTGTTCAACCCTGTTACCTTAGGCTAATCCCTCATTAATTATATAGAAAATCATATATCAGAACTAAATTTCGGCTTTCTTACTGCCCATTCTTTTGTATCTGTTACCTGCATTATAACAGGTAATCAAGTTGGACAGGTGAATGGGCTATGAGACTTTTGTTTCAGTAAGATTAGAACTGAAATGGCTAACAAGTCAATGACAATTATTACTAAAACTGAATACTGATCTACATTCTTTTTACATTATTATAATTTTGTTTGAACGTTTGTAACTTACAGGCAAATTTTTTGCTGAATCAATAAACACCATTAGCAATGCTGTGCTCATATTAGTAAGCCGCAACAGCTGTGTCTCGGCTATTGCCTGAAAACAAAACATTTTATGATGATGTTTAATGACACAAAATAATAAAAACTAACATTTCAAACCACATAATATACAAAACATATCCTTCCATATTTATCTTATAAGAAAATCACATTAACTTAACTTGAATTCAGGGATTGTTTGTTATTAGTCAATTCACGAACTGTTACCTTCCAAAACCAAGATTAAGAGATATATATATATATATATAAATAACATATTTATCAATTTGCATAGCTGTGGAACAAGGTCCCTTAGTCTAGGTAAAAGGTAAAATTACAGCTGCTGCATGTGAATAACTATGCAGACATATGGGGTGTGGAGGTATAGGTCCACACATTCTTAACCTCAGTATCAGAACAGGAGGCTGGATGGGCCCAAGGGCCAGTTTCAAGTTGTGGCAAAAATAAAATCCTGTTGATCTGGGAATCAAACCCTGGTCATTTACCCCACGGTCTAGTCATTATACTGACTGCTTTCCTGTAAGTCTGAGTGAAAATAATAAAACTGGAAAAGTCTGTTTATTTATTAGTGGTTTATTTAAGGATGATGTCAGAAGCTCATATTAAAATGATGAATAATATAATGATTAATTTAAAATTAAATAAGAATATGAAAGGAAGTCATCATGGCCTAACTTATGGTTCTATCCAGCATTTGCTTGTAGGAACTGAGGAAAGCCATAAAAATCCTGCTAGGATGGATGGTCTCTGAGCCAAGATTCAAATCTAGGACTTCCTGAATACAAAGCAGGAGTGCTAGCAAGTGATTTAAAATAAAATGTAATACTTATGAAAGTATCTGGACAATAAAAGGATAAAGTAAACAGAGAATATAAGAACTCTATGATTAATACAGTTCATCTAGTATTGTCAGTGTAATCCAATCACACAGGTTACTCAACAACTTTTTACAAAGAGCAAGGAAAAAAGAAAAAGAAATTTTGATGTGGATAATCTCTTAGAATATAAGTATTTCAAAACTGAAAACTATATGAAAGATAATATTAAAATGGTTCTTATGAAAATAGGTCATGAAATGGGCTGAAGCAGCTCAGAATCATTTGACTTGGTAGTGTTGTTTCACATTAATTCTAAGCTGTACTAATCTTCAGATAATGTATGCTACATACTACTTACTGCTTTAAGATCCTCAAAAGATGAGCTGAGAGTCAGCCAAGTCATACGCAAGTGGACCATACCACTTTTAACGCCTTCCAATGTCATCCACTACAACAGAAACAACTGTTATAGTAGCAGACTTACAGTGTTAAACAGTAATGCTACAACTTTACATTATACATTGTCAAATTTCTAAATCATAGCTCAGTGCTTGAAAAATATGCATACCATATTAAATATTATTAGCAAAAAGCCATAGTACATTTTGCAAATGTTACCACAGTTAATTTATTGTCATTACAGCAATTAAAGATACACGTCAGTTCATCTATTCTCAGTATCTGACTCATTCAAAATTATTATACTACCTCTGATTCTTACTTTTACATGCCAGAAAATCAATGTCTGGACTTCAATAAATGGGAGTTCTCCATGTATAAATAAAACATATTGCACATCACTACAAGTTAAAACTTCTATCATAAAACTGATGAATTTGTTATATAGAGATAATATAGATTTATTGAGCCCTCTTTATATAAGTTTTGTTACAATGTCCACTACAAAACCTACAGTTCACTGTGGAAAAATGTAACAAGTGTTTACTTAATTTAGTTGCATATTTCTTTTTAAATACTGTAATTAATCTGAAATTTAATTAATTTGAAACAAAATTTATGAACCATAACAAATGATAAGGCATTGAAAGACTCAAATGACAGCTGTGCTATGGCTGTAATAAATTTATGATGCTGATCGATGTAAAGAATGGCTACAAAATCAAATTATATTACAACTTTCTTGAAATATTTTCCATGATTTTATTACTTCAGAGGTAAAATTCTACAAACAAAATGTACTGTCCCAATATAAAGTTGATGCAAATTTTATTATGATAACTTACTTACCAAATCAACTTGTCCTTTCTTGGCTACACCACTCACATCCACAGTTGCTCTGAAAAGTGCATTCAAACACTCCACATTCATTGATTCCAAATGAAAATATTATGTGTCTTTTACATAAAATTCAATATTTCATGTAACAAAGCAATTTAACAGGTAAAAACACAGAGCTACTATAGAAGCAATTTTCAGTTACAATCAATTTTTGATAGTCATGAAATTATGTTTATAAAAAATGGACACGAAAAGGTAGGTTATTCATTACTGCATAAAACCAGAGACTTTTCTAAACAAATGCTACTGATTTTGTAAAATATATTTTGAAGCAATTTGCATGCATTCATGCAAACAACAGGAACATGCAACAAATGTGAAAAATGTTCTTTTATCCTATGCCAGACTTAAGCCTCTCAGCCATTAGTCTATTTTTGGCAGCCCAATACAGATTTGAATCGGCGATAAAACCAAAAATGTATGGCAAGCAGAACACTGAAAACAGAAAGGGAGACTATGATGTGCTAGAGTACAAAACTACAATGCTTGAAACCAGTAGCAGGAAGTTCTTAATATTGGGTACTCTGAAACACAACCAACACTAGGTTCTACCCAACTTTTGATGACCAAATTATAGAAACAAAGTTCAAAACATAATTCTTCTGAATCAAAATTCTATTTATCATTTACCCACATGTCAGGTTAAAGAGCATCTTCAATCCACTCAACACACAGCAACTAATTCTACCTTTTTGTGGGTAGGTTCAATAAATTACACTTTCCAAAACACTATCCATGCAGATGTGCTTAGAACTAGAGATGCAATTAATAGCAGGTGATTCTGGAAACAATTTCAGCAGCCAGTTCAAACAAGACAGTTGTCACAAAGACAACTATTTCAAAAATCAAGAACTTTAAGCTAATGGCCTCAAAAGCTTACATTCCTTATGTTGAATTGTGCATGTTTTCATATGCTACAGGCATGTGCTTGGATTCTAACTATAAATAGTATCATCTAAAGAAGAGGCAAAGTATTTTAAATATGTATGTAGGATTTGAGGTTTTCATGGTGATGAGTCTGAATACATTTCTGCATATGACTTCTAAATCACCCAATTTATGAACTTGCAATGCAATATATATCAACATAAATCACTCAATACATTCAAATTTAATTTACAACAAAGAAAGGTACCAAGGTATCAGAAAATAGGCAAAAGAAGACACTGTCAAAACATTAATTATGAGCATGATAATTCAGTTTACTATGTGCAGTTGGCATCAGAAGAATGGCTACTGTATGTGTAAAATGTCAACAGTAATCCACAGTCCAGTGTTACATACACACAAACACTCAGTTCTTCAAAGACTTTTAAAACAAACAAAGCCGGCCATTTTTTTTTGTGTACATATTTCATTGGTAACAACGATAACAAATCAAAATGATACTCATGAGGAAGTTAGGAGAAGACTAAATTCTGGAAATACTTGCTACTTCTCAGTTCAAAATATTTTGTCTTCCCATCTGATTTCTAAGTCCTGAAGATTAAAATACACAAAAAAAAATCTGCCTGTTGTTTTGTATGGTGCGAAACATGGTCTCTCACTCTGAGGAAGGAACATAGATTGCAGGTGTTTGAGAATAGGGTGTTGAGGAGGATATTTGGGCCTAGGAAGGAAGGTGATGGGGTATGGAGAAAACTGCATAAGGATAAGCTTAAAAATTTGAACTCCTCCCCCAGTATTGTCAGGGTGATTAAGTCAAGAAGAATGAGATGGGCGGGGCATGTGGTGCACATGGATGGAGAAAGAGATTTGCACCCGATATTAGTCGGGAAGCCCAAGGGGAAGAGACCACTGGGGAGACCTAGACATAGATGGGAGGATAATCTCAGATGGGATCTATGGGAGATAGGAGTTGAAGGAGACTGGATTTTGTTGACCCAGGACAGGGTCTGGTTGAGGGCATTGATGAATTCAGTGATGAACCTTCAGGTTCTGTAAGCCATCTAGTTAGTTGGTTAGTACATATTTCACAGGAAAGACAGACTTGTGACATAATTATGTTTGCGTGTCTGGCCCTCTTCCAGTAATTTTAGAATCAAACGAAAGCTTATTATGACATTTTATATTCACATCATATCGAATTTATACTTATAAATCTCCTATCATCAATATCAACACAGCAGTCAAAAATGTAAAGTAGAGCAGCTACTAGCTTCTACTAGCAGAGGATCCTGAAATTATGTGCAGTAATAGACCTCCAATCTTCAAATAAATGCAACTCTCTTAAGGTAATTTTATTGTAGAATGTAAAACAATATAGCAGCTCTGTAAAGTCTTTATAGCTTTCAGGTTGATGGAGATAACTAATGATATACTGGAGGTAGGCACATTAAATTATGTGCAGACATAAGATTATAAGTGTACTTACAAGTTCTGTATGAAACATTTTTTTATATGTTCACAATCTCAATTGTGGCTCTGGTGCAAAACTTTGAGATTATATCAGACAAATTTTAAGTAATCAAAATCTGTACTAGTGGAAATTATACATACAAATGAATCACTAAATTGTATAACTATTAATTTGAACTTGCAACATTACACTATGAAATTTCAATGTTAAAGGATTCTGATGATTGTGTTTTATACTCATACCAGACAATGGACAGTCAAAGAATTTAGTAATATTAAATTTGATTCTCAAACTTCCAAAACCACTACATAAGTAATTTAAGGCATATTAAAGATAGTAAATTATAATTGCTTAACTTATATCTCTTACTTATAGGCACCTTGCAACAATTTAAATAAAAAAACTAAAAAATGTATGATGTTAAAAGTATTTCATGATGTTTTAGCCCTCACAACAAAATGGCAAATAAGTGAATAGCAATGTAGTGTTTCCAACTGGACAGTAGACCACTGTTGCTTATAACTCATGCATGTGCCTGTGTACCTTCCCAGAAAGTCGTCCTCTCCTGTAGTATCTTTGTCATACAGTATGGCAGCCAACTTCTGACCCTTCAATTCCTCAACTTCAAACTGGCAACAACAGCAAAAGCAGCTTCATTCTTAGGTGGTTACTTATAGTTAGAAAAGACAGAATTATAGTGTTTCAGTAAAAGATACAAATGATCACAGCAGTTCAAACAGTAAGAAGCAAAGGATATTCTAATAATTATTTTCACTGGTAATTCAGCTTTCTGTACCAGAGGTTTAGACTGTATTAGAAAATTCAAATACTTTTGCTGAAACACTAAGAAGTTAGAAAGACAAAGTGAAGCAGAAGCAAAATACATGTTATACCTCAGATACACAGAAATTATATAAACAGAAACAAGAGATGTGTATGTTAAGTCACACATTCTGTTCATGTTCCCAAAATAAAACATGGTTATGTTTTCAAGTGCTTAGCAGTTATTCTACACTGTTCAGCGTTCTTGCAATGTATGGCAAGAAGACTTGCATAGTAGGCATGACCGATGAGTTAAAAAGTTACTGTGGGAAAGAAACTCTATGTAACTATTCTGGGAGGTACATGCACACACACACACAAGGCAAAACTCCAAAGTTTAAGCAGCTGAATCTACTTATTAATCAGCTGAAGAACTCAGGGTCAGTACTGTCTTTGACTCAGGTAAAGCAGTTACAGAAAACCAGCACAAAAAAAATCAATTCTTGGCACCAAATGGAAAACAATTTTCTCTTTTCATAACTGTTAGGTAAACATAACAGATAAAGCATCTGTTTTAATGAAGCTCGAACTCTTCACATTAATGTTTTAATAAAGGGTAGCATACAAGGACACAAAAGCTTTTAAAGTAGCATGTATATGCTCCACTGCCAAATATTCACAACTGTGACATTTAGAGGACAGGAAATATAATAGTTTGCACCATGAAGCTGGTTTCACTTAGTCCAACACACTATGTAAGACACAGAGTTTGCCATCTTGGACTGCAAGTTTCTGAATGTGAACCTTGTTTTAATTATACTGTGAACATATATTTTAGCATTATGAAAACTAAGGTCAAGTTACTCCTGTGCCTATGTACCATGTCTTGAAATTTTTACATAGAATATGGAAGTAAAGCTCCAAATATAATCTCCACTGAAGCAAAATGTTATATTCTGCAAATAACAAACAATATTAATCTAGGATTGTCATCACTTTTTAAAAACACAAAACTATACCACAATAATTCTTATGTGGGTTACTGTTTTCGGAAAATCATGCTGAGGGAAAGAATAAGTGACTTTAGTACATCCAAAGTGCTGCTTTAACAAACACTTCATCACATCTCTGACATTTAATAATTTTCATTTACAATCACAAAAGACTTTAGTGGCAGAGGGAGGGATGCATACATCAAGTTATCACAATTTGTGCACAACTATAATAGAAAAAATAGGGTATAAACATGCATAGAAATATAACAAAGTAGTATGTACATATTTATAAAAACATTAAAAAAAATTCTGTACAATGTAACCTGATAGTAACCATGTTTCCTCTAAAATAGGTTCTTTGTGATTTCATTAATTAAATGTTTAGCAATGCTAGTGATAAAATAATATTAAAAAACAAAAATCAAAACCATGTGGAACCTTTCATGAGGTAGCAGTAGTTTATAGTCTTGTTAATGAATGATCTGAGTTTTTGCATGAATAAGTAACAGTAGAGGCTGGTAAATTGTGTGTTAGTTTCAAAATAGTGCAATGCTTGTAAAAATTATTATGGACTAGAAAAGAAATAGTACTTCCTTTTAAGTAATTACTACAACATTAAGAAAGCAAACTTAGGTGTGACAAAATGGTTTCCTGTTACAGTTCTCTAAATCAATTAAATATTAGCTCCCATCCCTCCATCATGTGTTAGACCTAATGCTGCAATTTTCCTACCCATCCTTCATATATACTAAATGTGTTTCTTAAGTTTTAAACATATATGTTACAAATTAAAAAAACTGAAGTGTTAATTTATGGAATGCTACCACTTGTGATGCAGAAATTGTATTAGTTGACTATAAAGAGCATAATTTAATAAAAATCAGCATGAGTGACAAGGGTTCTAAAATAACTAAATAACTAACTAACTAACTAGATGGCTTACCGAACCCAAAGGTTCATCACCGAATTAACCAAAGCCCTCCACCGGACCTTGTCCTGGGCCAACAAAATCCACTTTCCTTCAACTCCTATCTCCCATAGATCCCGCCTGAGATTATCCTCCCATCTACGTCTAGGTCTCCCCAGCGGTCTCTTCCCTTCAGGTTTCCCAACCAGTACCCGGTGCACACCTCTTGTCCCATCCATGCGCGCTACATGTCCCGCCCATCTCACTCTTCTCGACTTAATCACCCTCACAAGACTGGGGGAGCAGTACAGATTTTTAAGCTCGTCATTGTGCAGTTTGCTCCACGCCCCATCGTCTTCCCTCTTAGGCCCAAATATCCTCCTCAACACCCGATTCTCAAACACCCGCAATCTGTGTTCCTCCCTCTGAGTGAGAGACCATGTTTCGCACCCATACAAAACAACAGGCAAAATTATTGTTTTGTA